ATTGTTCCCTGTGGAAAATAAGGAAACAGAGGCATAGAGAAATTTAAAGATTTTCCCAATTTACATAGCTGGCCCAGTCTAGGGACTGGACTCAGGGACATAAAACTCTGGGAAAAGCCAGATGTTGGTGGCTCATGCCTGTAATCCTAGCTACAAAGGAGGCTGAGATCTGAGGATTGAAGTTCAAAGCCAGCCTGGGCAGGAAAGTCCATGAGATTCCTTTTTTTTTTTTGCCAGCCCTGGGGCATGAACTCTGGGTCTGGGTGCTATCCCTGAGCTCCTTTTGCTTAAGGCTAGCACTCTACCACTTGAGCCACAGCACCATTTCTAGCTTTTTCTGTGGTTAATTGGAGGTAAGAGTCTCACAGACTTTCCTGCCTGAGCTGGCTTTGAATAGTGATCCTCAGAGCTCAGTCTCCAAGTGACTAGGATTACAGGCGTGAGCCAGCAGCACCAGATTCTGGGGCATTTAATCACAAAAGCTAGAAGTGGAGCTGTGGCTCAAGTGGTAGAGTACAAGCCTTGAGCACAAAAGCTTAGCAACAGGGTTTAAGCCCAGAGTTGAAGCCCCAAAACTGGAAAAAAATAAAAAAATAAAACTGGGGGGCTGGGAAGGTGGCTCAGTGGTAGAGTGCTTGCCTTGCATGCATGAGGCCCTGGGTTCGATTCCTCAGCACCACATATGTAGAAAAAAAGCCGGAAGTGGCACTATGGTTCAAGTGGTAGAGCCTTGAGCTGAAGAGCTGAGGGACAGCTTTCAGGCCCAGAGTTCAGGCTCCACGACCGGACCCAAAAAAAAAAAGAAAAGAAAAAACTGGGAGAACCCACTATGAACTAATCACCAGTGGCTTACACTTGTAACCCTAGCTACTCAGGAAGCTGAGATTTGAGGATCTCGCATGGTTTGAAGCCAAACAAAGCAGAAAAGTCCCAGTGAGATTCTTATCTCCAATCAACCACTTAAAAACCAGAAGTGGCACTATGGCTCAAAGTGATGGAACACTATCCTGGAACCATTCCTGAGGCTTGAACTCAGGACCTGGGAGCTATCCCTGAGCTCTTGCTCTTGCTCAAGCTAGTGCTCTACCACGTAAGCCACAGCTTTTTGGTAGTGAATTGGAAACAGAAGTCATACAGACTTTCCTGCTAGGGCTACTTTGAACCAAGACCTTTAGCTCTCAGTCTCCTGAGTAGCTCGAATTATTGGCATGAGCTACGGGTACCCCGCTTCTTCTACATTTTAAATGAGGCAGTCTTGGATTTGTTCAATCCCTGAAACTAATTTACTAGGTTCCCTGAGTCAACTTCAGGGCCTTGGTTTCCCATGTAAGGTCACTGGGAGGAAACAGTATCGGAGGGAAGGGACCTAACAGTGCAGAGTACATGGTAAATGCGGGTGAATTTTTGTTCTCATGTTCTTTCTTCCTTTGATCAACCAACAAACTGTAGCATCCCCACTTGGCTTTTCCGCTCTTGACTGGCACTCTACCACTTAAGCCACACCTCTACTTTCCACTTTTCACTGGTTAGTTGGAGACAAAAATCTCTCAGGGGGCTGGGAAGGTGGCTCAGTGGTAGAGTGCTTGCCTTGCATGCATGAGGCCCTGGGGTCGATTCCCCAACATCACATAAGCAAAAAGGAAAAAAGCCGGAAGTGGCGCTGTGGCTCAAGTGGTAGAGCGCTAGCCTTGAACTGAAGAACTGAGGGACAGGGCCCAGGCCCCGAGTTCAAGCCCCATGACTGACAAAAAAAAAAAAGTCATCCTGCCCAGGAGCTGGTGGCTCATGCCTGTAATCCTATTCAGGAGGCTGAGTTCTGAAGATTGTGGTTTGAAGCTAGCACTGGCAGGAAAGTCTGTGAGACTAAAGCCTAAGCACTGTCCCTGAGCTTTTTGCTCAAGGCTAGCACTCTACCACTTGAGCCAGAGCACTACTTTCAGCTTTTTCTGTGTATGTGGTACTAAAGAATCGAACCAGGGCTTCATGCATGCCAGGCAAGCACTCTACCACTAAGCTACATTCCCAGCCATCTGTGAGACTCTTAACTCCAATTAACCACCAGAAGATCAGAAGTGGCCCTGTGGCTCAAAGTGGTAGAGTGTTAGCCTTGAGTGAAAGAACTCAGAGACAGTGCCCAGGCTCTGAGTTCAAGCCCCACAGCGGGCACACATATAAAAGTCACTCTGGCATCAAGTGAATGAGACTAGAGGCGGTAAAATAGCCATGTGAGCAGTCCTAATAATCTAGAATGATTATGAAGGTCATCATGTCTTTGATCTTAGAGGAGATGGGAGATTGCAGAACACACAAACCAGCAGCTGCTAGGGAGCTGAGGGGACCACGTGTGGTGAGAAGATAGAAATGGTGGGCAGGATGAGGATGCCACGTGTGTTGGACAGTCTCAGCTTACCTAGCTCCCAATTAGCATCCTCCTGCTGCCTGGGGCATGCCAGGAGCCCACTCTCAGAGCACTGCACCCCCAGACAGAAGCTAGCCTTGCTGATTGCTTCTGCAGCTCCTTGTCCTTACTCCCTGCCCGGCTCTGCTGTTGCTCTCTCCCCTCCTCACCCTGCTGCTCCTCCCACCCCCACACCTCCTTTCTGCACACTCTCCTTGCAAAATCTCTTCTTCAGCTGTTTCAGTTTCCCAGGTGCCCTCCACATCACCCTTCAGCCTCTGGTAGACAGGAAGGGGTTTGTTTCTGGAGATAAGATTTCACTACGTAGCCTGGGATGGCCTCAGACTGTCTTGCCTCTGCCTCCTGAGTGCTGAGATTACAGAAGTGTGCCACCATACCTAGCTATAAAGTTCTTTTGTCCGGGACTTTCTGGACTCCGGGACCTACCCCCTGACCAGCTTCCGGTTCTCTCCTCGCTCCCCTCATCTCCGCTCCCCTCCCCATCTGTGCTGGGATTTGACTCCTGCTCTCTTCTGTCACAGCCCCACCTTCACGTGTGAAATGACCTGGCACGTGCCCACCAGCCCTCGGAGTTAAGGGGTGAAGGACTAGTTTTGTTCTGTGTGGTGCATGAATACAGCCCATTTCATGGGTGACAAAACTGAGGCTTGGAGAGATGAAGACTCCGAGCTTAGACTGTTGAGCTGTGCTGTGTTCCAAGGTGAGCCACAGCCTGCTCTAGACGGGGCAGGATCGGTTCAGATGAGTATGAAGGAAAAAATGAGTGTAAAATGCTACGCGCCTGGCAGGTGGTAAGCATTCAGTATTACTCCCAGCTTCAGGGTGACCAGAGCCAAGGGGAGGGGGCCCCGCCTCCCAGGCCCTCCAGGATTCCTGTGGGGACATAGCCTCTCCTGCTTTTTCTACCCTTGCTCCTCTTTGCTGCCTCCACTTCCTCCTCTCCCCAGCCCCAGATGGGGTCTGGCTGGCTTCTCCCAGGCTGTAAAGTTATTTTCTCCTTTCAGTCCAGACTCCATTTCTATCCCCGGCTGTACTGAACAGGGCACAGGCACTGAGCAGTTCAAGAAGAGCTCAACAAAGCGTCTGTCTTCCTCAATCCTCCCCCACCAACGCTGACCAAACAAACACCTCACAGGAAAAGCCATGAGCTCCTGGGACAGGTGCGCCTGAAGGTAAGCCCAAACCCCTTCCCCATCAGACTGCCAACCGTGGTTTCTTCCAGAAGGTCTGGCTCCACCCTGGCTTGGCATGATCCAGACCCTTCACCCCGCCCCCCAGCTGACTTCTCTTGAGTCAGACACTGGATCCTGGGGTCTCCTGGCCCATCCTCACCGTAAGGCCTGCCCCCCCACCCCGAAAACACAGTCACCCTCCAAACCAGTGGGCTGGCCTGGCTTCCCTCTAGCTTTGACCAACTGAAGACCCCTCCTCACTCTGTGCCCGGGGCCCTGCTGTGCCCCCAAGCAGCACCCCCCTCCTCCGGCTGTTAGCCTGGGAAGGGGGCCAGCCCCTGAGCTCAGACCTTGGCCATTCCAGTGTCTGAGGCCGCCCGCCAGCCCCGGGGAAGAGGGGGGAGGTGGCAGGGTGGGCACCGGGAAGCTCTCCAATTGGGGGGGGGGGACGGGACGGGGGAAGGAAAACTGGGCGTCTAGCGCGGTTCTTTCTGATCTTGATCTTCTTCCGGACCCCACTGGCTTCTTCCTGGGACCTCACTGAACCTTGGCCAAAGGGCTGCGCCTCCGAGGGGAGAAGTGACTTTGGGGGGCGGTGAGGACCACCCCCCCGCAGGTGGCAAGGACGGCTGGGGAAGAAGAGCCCACGCGGCCTCCGATCGTCCGAGTGACCCCAGGCAAAGCCCTTCTTCCTCCCCAGCCTCGGTTTCCCGCCCGGACGCGGACCGGGAGGCGGCGTACCCCGGGCCTCCCCGCCCCGCCCGGAGGAATCTGGCGGGCAGGCGCGCGGGTCCCAGGTGAGGGCTCCCTGGAAAGCGCCCAGCGGCGGGCCCGGCGGGGGAGGGCGCCCGGGGGGGCCCCGGCCGCGCACCCGCGCTCCGCGGGGCAGCCGCGACCCCGCGTTAGCCAGGAAGAAAAAAAGTGAGCCAAAAAAGAGAAAAAAACAAAACTGTCTCCCTGGCCCCGGGCCAGCGTCCCAGCCCCCCTCGCCCTCGCCGCCGCCGCCGCCGCCGCCGCGCTCCAGCCAGGGAAAACAACTGCTCACTTCTCCCTGCGTCCGCCCCGCGCCCTGCGCCCGCCCCGCGCGCCCGCGTCCGCCCCGCGCGCCCTGCCTGCGTCCCGGCGGCCGCGGCGAGGGGCGCGGAGCGGGCCGGCCGCCCGGCCTTCCTCCCTCGCTCCTCCTCTCCGCCTCCGCGGGCTCCCGACTCCGGCCCGGGCCTGGCCGGGACGTGTCCGCCGCTCCCCGCGGTCGCAGCCTCCACCTCTCGGCCTCGCCCCGGGGGCGCCCCCGGCCGCGCCTGCCGTCCCCTCCCCGCCCGCTCCCTCCGCTCCTCTCCACCCTCTGCGGGGTTCCCGACCCCCCGGCTCCCCCTCGCCCCCCTCCACTCCCGGGGTCGCGCGGGCCCCGGATGCCCGGGCCCCTCGGGGCTGCCGGCGGCCTGGCCCCTGCGATGCGCGGGGCAGGGGCGGCGGGGCTCCTGGCGCTGCTGCTGCTGCCGCTGCTGGGCCCGGGCGGCGGGGCCGAGGGGGGGCCGACCGGCGAGCGCGGCGCCGGCGGGGGCGGGGCGCTGGCCCGCGAGCGCTTCAAGGTGGTCTTCGCGCCGGTGATCTGCAAGCGGACCTGCCTCAAGGGCCAGTGTCGGGACAGTTGTCAGCAGGGCTCCAACATGACGCTCATCGGAGAGAACGGCCACAGCACCGACACGCTCACGGGCTCCGGTTTCCGCGTGGGTGAGCACCGGGGGCTGCGGCTGGGAAGTGCGGGACAGACCGGCGCCAGGACCAGGCGGGACACGCGCAAGAGTAGAGGAGCGTTGGGCAGAGAAGATGAAGGGGGGGGGAAGTTGGGGTACAGAGAGCCCCCCCCATCTGGGGCCCTAGGGAACTGAGGGGCTTGGGAGGCTGCAGTCCTGAAGGCCAGAGTTGGGGAAGGGTGCAGGGCGCATGGAGGCCTGCACTTGGAAGCTTTCCGTGAGAGTTGGGGCCTAGACTGGGGTCCTGGATGGCAGAGGCAGAGGGGACAGGGCTGTGTTCGGAGAGGTGGCACACACCCCTGTCGGTGCAGGAAGTCTCCAAAAGGGGGGTAAATATTTTCACAAGAAACAGAAGCCTTTTAAAAAATGTCTAAGGCAGGGCCTGCCAGGGGACACCTGCCTTCTGGGGGAGGAGCCAGGGCAGAGAGGGGGAGGCATTGAGGCCTGAGAAGTAGGGTGCAGGTCTGGATTTGGGGCTGTTTTAGGTCATCAGTGCCTCTTCTCCTCCTGCCTCCCAATGAGCTCCCTGTGTGCCAAGGCTGGGGGGGGAGAGGTGTCCCAGTAGTAATTACCCTGTTGGACAGGGTAATTAGGCCGAGCCCAGGATGGCACCAGCAAAACAGCCCCCCTCACACATTCCTCACCCACTCCAGACCTGAGGAGCCCCACTCATGCGGTTCACCCCTCTCACGATAAGGATGTGTGTGTGTGTGTGTGTGTGTGTGTGTGTGTGTGTGTGTGTATGTGTTTACACAGGCACATTGTGATTAGTTCATGTCTGTTATTGTCTCTGGTATGTGTCTGTGCTCACTTCCAGGGAGTGGATGGGAGTGTTTACATAGTGAGTCTGTGTTAGTGTCAGAATGAGTCGGTGTGTGCTTTGACTGTGCTTGTGAGTATATGTGTGCCCAGCCTCCCAGACCCCCTGGCCATCCTTGCTGTCTCCATATGTGCTGCCCACATCCCCCAGGCTCGGTGCCCAGGCCACAGTGGGCGGATGTCACCAGGAGGTCATCCACGCCGCTATGAGTGACTCATTGGGAGGCAGGAAGGAGAGGATCCTGCCTCCCCCGGCCCAGGACACACCTCTTGTGCCTGATGAGGCCTGGCCCCAGGGGGCAGGGCAGGGGAAGGGGGAGGGCAGGCTGGGCTAGGATGCTCTTGGTGTGACCCTAATTTAGCCAGGGGTAGGGCTGTCCCTCTCTATGAGGAGGTCTAGGTATCCAGGAGGTGCTGGAGCTGGTACAGGATCTCAGGACCCAAGGCTAGAAACAGGTCAGGTGTGAATACCTGGAGAAAGAGGGTCTCAAGTCTTGTTCAGTCACCTCTTCCCTCATCCTCCTGAGCCCCAGCTCTGGCCTTTTTTTTGTACTGTACTGGGGCTTAAACTCAGGGCCTCACGCTCTCATTTGGCTTTTTGCTCATGGCTGGCACTCTGCCATTTGAGCCACATCTCCACTTCTAACTTCTTGCTGATTAATTGGAGATCAAAAGTTTCATAAACTTTCCTGCCTGGGCTGGCTTTGAACTGAGATCCTCAGATCTCAGCCTCCTGAGTAGCTAGGATGACAGGCTTCCAAACACCCTTTGTAGTAGGGAAGACATGACACTGTAACCAACCATGCCAAGCCGTGCTGAGGGGGTGTAACTCAAAGAGAACACATGGCAGGGATGGGGCAGGAGGATGGTTCTTCCTAGGGAAGATGAGTCCAGGAGGATCAGGTTTTAACAGAGGTGGCCAACAGGACTCTGGGGTGGAGGAAAAGGCAGGAATGGAATATATATACCATGGAAGGGGCAGAGGGGGATGAGCTGAGAGAAAGTTCTGGATGGTAGCCTTGAATATCCAGGAAAGAGTTGGAGGCACAAGCCCAAGTCGTTGAGTTCAAACCTCAGAGCTGGGGAAGAAAACAGAATAAAGTTTCTCTCATATGCCCAGCAGAGGATGAAAATGGTGAGCTGGGATTGTGAAATGCCAGACTTTTGCCTGAGGCAGGCGTCTCTAGGGATGCTGGGATTGTAGCCTGGCAGGAGAGAGACCGGAAGCCAGGGAGGGTCTGGGCATCATGACCAGACACAGAGGAGGGGCAGAGGCCAGGGGTAGAGAAGAGATGGGTTTCAGGAACATTTCAGAAGCCATAACTGGAGGAGCCTCATAAATGGGGGCCTGAGGCTGGGTTCCATGTGTCTGAGCAAGCAAGGGTTCCCAGTGGTGACCCCAGGTAGAGAGCTGTTGATTTTGGAAAGTGTTAGGGAGAAAGTTCTGGAAGGGTCAGAGGCTGTGGTTGTGTCCATAGATGGGGTATTATTGGCAGCAGTGTGAGCCCTTGGGGGCTAGTGGGGGGGGGGGTGTTGAGGAGAGAGGGCAGAGGACGAAATTAGGAGAAACAAGTGGAGGGGTCAGAAAGAACCCATCCCCAGGAAAGGCTGTTCCGTAAGGGTCGCCATCACCCTCTACTGCACCGTACTCTCAACAGTCTGTGTGTGCGCCCCACTGGGCCGGGCATCCGTACAGTCACTGCCTCATTTGGCACAACAGCCCCGCAGATGAGTGCCCCAAGCGGGGAGGTGAATGCCACACAGAAGCCAACCACCATTTAAGTTGGCCACTTAAGATTTTAGAACCTGGGCTGGGAAGGTGGCTCAGTGGTAGAGTGCTTACCTTGCATGCATGAGGTCCTGGGTTCGATTCCTCAGCACCACATAAGCAGAAAAAAAGCCGGAAATGGCGCTGTGGCTCAAGGGCTAGAGCGCTAGCCTTGAGCTGAAGAGCTGAGGGACAGCGCCCAGGCCCAGAGTTCAGGCCCCATGACCAACCATAGTGGGAGGGGTCGTCGTCAGGGAGGGCACTTTTCACTTACATGACCAAAACCATCTTCCACGTGAGAACAGGGCCAGTGTGTGGCAAGGAAGTGGTGGGTGGGGGTCCTCCCAGACCCTGACCCCCACTTCTCCTCCCCAGTGGTCTGTCCTCTGCCCTGCATGAATGGCGGCCAGTGCTCCTCCCGAAACCAGTGCCTGTGCCCTCCGGACTTCACGGGCCGCTTCTGCCAGGTGCCCGCTGGAGGAGGCGCGGCCGTGGGCACCATTGGCTCTGGCCCCGGGCCGGGCCGGGCCGGGCCCCTGTCTACAGGTGCACTAGCTCCGGAGGGTGACTCGGTGGCCAGCAAGCACGCCATCTACGCCGTGCAGGTGATTGCCGACCCTCCTGGACAGGGGGACGGACCCCCAGCCCAGCACGCCGCCTTCCTGGTGCCCCTGGGGCCAGGACAGATCTCAGCAGAAGGTACCAGGCCAGGGGGCAATACTGGATGCTTACCAATGGGGGTGGGCACAAGGGGGGCCCCCCAAGGTGGAGCAGCCCTGAGGCCACCACGCCCCGCCCCCAGTGCAGGCCCCGCCCCCCGTGGTGAACGTGCGTGTCCACCACCCGCCGGAGGCCTCTGTCCAGGTACACCGCATCGAGGGGCCCAACGCTGAGGGCCCGGCTCCCGTCCAGCACCTGCTGCCTCACCCCAAGCCCCTGCACCCGCGGCCACCCACCCAGAAGCCCCTGGGCCGCTGCTTCCAGGACACACTGCCCAAGCAGCCGGTGAGCGAACACAGTTCAGAGCCCAGGCTGCGGCGAGAAGGGGTGTGGAGGGGAACGGACCTCAGAAGGTGGGTGAACAGGGCTGGGTGCCGCGTGTGACCCCTGTCCACGCTTCTCCCCGCAGTGTGGCAGCAACCCCCTGCCAGGCCTCACCAAGCAGGAAGACTGCTGCGGCAGCATCGGCACAGCCTGGGGTCAGAGCAAGTGCCACAAGTGTCCCCAGCTGCAGTGTGAGTGTGTGGGAAGTCCCCTCCCCACGCCACGCTCCCCGGTGCCCTCTGCACCCCCTCCCCCTTGCCATGCTGTCCTCTCTTTGCAGACACCGGGGTGCAGAAGCCAGGACCTGTACGTGGGGAGGTGGGTGCTGACTGTCCCCAGGGCTACAAAAGGCTCAACAGCACCCACTGCCAGGGTACGGACAGCGGGAGATTGGGATTCTGGGACAGAAGGGGGCGTGGGGGGAGGTGCCGAGGTTGGGCCCACGAGAGTCTGAGGTTCTTGCAGCAGGCTGCTATCACTCTAATGGCGCCAGACCAAAGGAACCAAACTCTCCCTCACCACAGACATCAACGAGTGCGCAATGCCCGGCATGTGTCGCCATGGTGACTGCCTCAACAGCCCCGGCTCTTACCGCTGCGTCTGTCCACCTGGCCATAGCTTGGGCCCCTCCCGCACGCAGTGCATTGGTGAGACGGAGTGGGTGAAAGGGGTGAAACTTTTAAGCAGCAAGAGTCAGAGGCCTGCAGAAATGAGAGTGAGCCAGGTACTGGCAGCTCACAGCTGTAACTTTAGCTACTCAGGAGGCTGAGATCTGAGGATCACAGTTCAAAGCTAGCCTAGGCAGGAAAGTCTATGGAACTCATTTATCTCCAACTAACTACCAAAAAGCCAGAAGTAGAGTTGTGGCTCAAGAGTGCTAGCCTTGAGGAAAAAGAGCTTAAGGACAGAGCCCTGAGTTCAAGCTCCAAGACCAACACACACACACACACACACACACACACACACACACACACACACACACACACACACACACACACACACACACACACACACACACCAGAAGCTCCAAGACCAAAACACACACACACACACACATACCAGAAGCTCCAAGACCAAAACACACACACACACACACACACACACCAGAAGCTCCAAGACCAAAACACACACACACCAGAATCAAGTCAAGAGTTGACACACACACACACACACACACACACACACACACACACACACACACACACACACACACACACACACACACACACCAGAAGCTCCAAGACCAAAACACACACACACATACCAGAAGCTCCAAGACCAAAACACACACACACACACCAGAAGCTCCAAGACCAAAACACACACACACCAGAATCAAGTCAAGTCAAGAGTTGACTGCAGGAAGCTGAAGGCTAGAGCAGGGAGGATCAGGGTTGACGGCGCTGGGATTCCGTGTCAGGTCCCTCATCTGTGGAAGGAGGAGTGAAAAATTGGGTGACATGAGGTCAGGGCCACCGTGGGAACTAGAGAAGCAAAGTCTGGAGCAGCTGGGCAGAGGGCTGAGGGATGTGGGCAGTGTTGAGGGTCATGAGCCTGCCCTTCACCCCTGCAGCAGACAAGCCAGAGGAGAAGAGCCTGTGCTTCCGCATGGTGAGCCCCGAGTACCAGTGCCAGCACCCCCTGACCACGCGCCTCACCCGCCAGCTCTGCTGTTGCAGTGTGGGCAAGGCCTGGGGCACACGGTGCCAGCGCTGCCCTGCAGATGGCACTGGTGAGGACACGTGGAGGGATCGTGTTGGGGGCCGGCTGGCCGCGTATACCAGGCCAAACACTCATGTCTGTGTCCACTGTGGCCCCCGTCTTGATTGCAGCTGCCTTCAAGGAGATCTGTCCCGCGGGGAAGGGCTACCACATCCTCACCTCCCACCAGACACTCACCATCCAGGGCGAAAGCGATTTTTCTCTTTTCCTGCATCCAGATGGGCCACCCAAACTCCAGCAGCCCCCTGAAAGCCCCAGCCGGGCACCGTCCCCCCAGGACACAGAGGAAGAGAGAGGTCTGCTCTGACTCTATGACCCCTAACCCACAGATATGACTCCATGTTTAACTCCCTAAAACCCACTGACAGGACTTCACATTTAACTCTCTTAATTGTTGGTGGTACTGGTATTTGAACTCAGGGCTCTGCTCTCTTGCTAGGCAGGCATTCTACCGCTTGAACTACACTCCTAATCCTTTTACTCTAGTTATTTTTCAGATTGGGTCTGAAGCTTGAACTCTGGGCCTGGGCGCTGTCCTTCAGCTCAAGGCCAACGCTCTACCACTTGTGCCACAGCTCCACTTCTGGTGGTTTATTGGAGATGAGTCTTCCAGACTTTCCTTCCTCAGGCTAACTTTAAATTTTGAGCCTCAGATCTTAGCCTCTTGAGTAGCTAGGATTACAGGCGTGAGCCACGGGGCGCCTGAGTGGAGATATGATTTTTGAACTCTTAAAGACCTACCCTAGCCAAACATAGGCTCACTTGCAATCCTGTTCAGGAGTCTGAGATCTGAGGTTCTCACTTTGAAGCCAGCCTGGGCAGACAAATCCAGGAGAATCTTATCTCTAAATAACCAGCAAAAAGCTGGAAGTAGAGTTGTGGCTCAAGTGATAAAGCACCAGCCTTAAGGGAAAAACTCAAGCAAAAATTCAAGGTCTTTGCCGAGCCCAGTGGCTCACACCCATAATCCTAACTACTCAGGAGGCTGAGATAGGATGATCCCGGTTCAAAGCCGCCCCGGCAGGAAAGTCCAAAGCCAGCCCCGGCAGAAAAGTCTGTGAGACTCTATCTCCAATGAACTACTCAGAAAACTAGAAGTGGTGAAGTGGCGCTGTGGCTCAAGTGCTAGAGTGCTCGCCTTGAGCTGAAGAGCTGAGGGACAGCGCCCAGGCCCAGAGTTCAAGTCCCACGTCTGACAAAAAAGTGCAAGGCCCTGAGAGTTCAAGCCTCAATACCAACACACGAGCACGTGCAAACGTGCGCGCGCGTGCACACACACACACACACACACACACACACACACACACACGAGACCTAGTCTAGCTCACACCCAGTTGCTCATACCCTGACCTCTTCTCCCACCTCAACTTTTAATATCTCCATCTTCTTCCTTTTTAGGGGTGACCACGGAGCCAGTGAGTAGGACAGCCTGGGCGGGAGGGGTGGAGGCGGTGGGGGAGACAAGGGAGCCCATGCTGCTGTCACCCACAGCCAGTGAGTGAGGAGCGATCAGCGCAGCAGAGCCACTCCATTGCCACCACCACGCCTGCCCGGCCTTTCCCGGGTGAGCTGGGCACTGCAGGGAGGAGACTTCAGGGATTAAGTCACTGGGAAGTTGGGGGGTGGGGGTGGGGGAAAGACATTTATAATGGGGTGGAAGAGGGAGCTTTAGTCACCCCTCACCCTCTGAGGAGCTTGTGTTGCTGCCTGCAGAGTTGATCTCCCGCCCCTCACCACCTACTATGCACCGGTTCCTGCCAGACCTGCCTCCTTCCCGAAGCGCCGTGGAGATTGCCCCGACCCAGGTCACCGGTAAGGCAGGCAGCAGGCCATGCCCTGCTGTTACTTCCCGAATACCCAGGAGGCCACACCCCCAGTTTATTTTTCTCCTTCTGGTGCGGCCCTCTCTCCTCCCAACAAACAATCATTCTCTACCACCAACATGCTAATGCTTGCCCAGGGCTGGGCACTAGGAAAGTTCTGGTGAACTGCAGAGATCGCACCCTACTCCCAGATGAGCCAGGGAATATATGGCAGTGAACCCAATCTGAGGGCATTCATTAATTCAGTTTACACTGAATATCTATTATGTGCCTGGTTCTATTGAGATGCTGGGATTAGCATAGAAAACAAAACCAGACTGGAAAAAAATCCTTGTCCTTGCAGAGCAGACAAAACAACAACAAACCCAGATAAGTAAACATCTAGCCTGTCTCATAAATCCACTCTGACCCACCCAGTATGCAGTGATGAGCAGGTTAAGTAAGTCAGAGAATAAGTAAAAATCTAATATATTTCAAATGCTTTGAAAGAATAAACAAAAAAAAAAGGAACTCCATAGGATATGATAATATATATATAGGATGGCAATGAGAGACAAGGCTTTCTGGAGAAGGCTTTAAAGATTGTTAAAAATGTGGAGCCAGGCACCGGTGGCTCAGGCCTGTCATCCTAGCTACTCTAGAGGCTGAGGATTATGGTTGAAGGCCAGCCTGGGCAGGAAATTCCATGAGATTCTTACCTCCAGTTAACCACCAAAAAAGCCAAAAGTGAAGCTGTGGCTTAAGTGGTACAGTACTAACCCTGTGAAAAAGTTGAACTCAGTGCCCTGGCCCTGGCACCAAAAATAGAATAAAAAGGAGGAGGAGGAGGAAGAGGAGGAAGAGGAAGGGGCATACAGGTTCCTGAAAGGAAAATTCCAGAGGGAGTTCAGTTTGGGCAAAGGAATAGAAGTATGAATCACTAGTGGAGGAAGGAGACACTACACTGAGATCCATGTTTCTGAACAAGCCTAGGGCATGGGCCTTGTTAGCCGGCCTATGTTTGCTGCCAAAGGCTATGAGAAGTGAGAAAGCACTTTAATCATTGTTAGCTCAGACTGAGCAAACCTCTCTCTGATGGCCACTTCCCCCCAAAAAATTAAGATGGGCACTGGTGGCCCACACCTGTAATCTTCACTTAGGAAGCTGAGATTTGAGGATAACATTTTTTTTTTTTTTTGGGTCCGGTCGTGGGGCCTGAACTCTGGGCCTGGGCGCTGTCCCTCAGCTCTTCAGCTCAAGGCTAGCACTCTACCACTTGAGCCACAGCGCCACTTCCGGCTTTTTTCTTTTTGCTTATGTAGTGCTGAGGAATCAAACCCAGGGCCTCATGCATGCAAGGCAAGCGCTCTACCACTGAGCCACCTTCCCAGCCCCAAGGATCACATTTTGAAGCCAGCCTGGGGAAAAAGTCCATGAGACTCTTATTCTCCAATTAACCAAAGCCAAAAGCCAAAGGTATAATTTAGGTGGTAGAGTATCAGCCTTGAATGAAAAGGTCAAGTGAGAGCCAGAGGCTCCAAATTCAAGTCCCAGTACATGTGTGTGTGTGTGTGGACGTGCAAACACACACACACCTTCTCATACTCTGAACTAAGCATTGCTTGCCTCAATTTCAGATGAGAAAACAGTGTCAGAGAGGTTAGTAACTTGCCTGAAGTCACCCAGCACAGCCAGATAGATCCAAACCTCAGATCCACTGTGGGCTACAAAGCCTCAAGAGAGCTGGCAGCCTGACTGATCCCTAAGCCTAGATGAGCTCCTGGGCTCAGGTGGAAGGGAGGCTCTTGGGATGTGGAGGACAGGGCACGCAGGGAGGGTACTGAGGAGGTCCTGGGAGAGGTACTCCAGGCAGAAAACAGCCCGCAAAAGCCCACTGGCATGTCAATTTGGGGCAGAGCAGAAGTCAGCCCTATTCTAGGCTGCATCTGACCACCTGTCAACAGCTGTGGCACAAGTCAGGGTGCCCGGGACACCGGCTTCTGGCCTGCCTGGGGAGGAGGGGTGGGTGGGTGGGCGGTAATCAGCTACTCTGGAATAAGGACAGAAGTGACTGGCGCTGAGGCTCGGGGTTTAAGGTCCGGAGCGGCTGGAGGGTGGGGTATTGGGAAGGCTGGGGGGCCGAGGGGCCCCCCTGACATGGAGATTCTTCCTGAGTGAGGAGGATGGTGTTGGGGAAAGTGAGGTCACCGTGGCCCCCGCAGGGCTGGGGTGGGCCTCGCCCTCTGACCCGCCCCACCCCGCCCCGCCCCGCCGCAGAGACCGATGAGTGCCGGCTGAACCAGAACATCTGTGGGCACGGCGAGTGCATCCCGGGCCCCTCTGACTACTCCTGCCACTGCAACCCGGGCTACCGCTCTCATCCCCAGCACCGCTACTGCGTGGGTGAGCAGGGGCGGGGCCCGGAGGGGCGGGGCCCGGAGGGGCGGGGCCCGGAGGGGCGGGGCTCCGGCTCACGTGTCTCCACGCCGCCCTTGCAGACGTGAACGAGTGCGAGGCGGAGCCCTGCGGCCTGGGCCGCGGCAGCTGCCTCAACACCGCCGGCTCCTACAACTGCCACTGCAACCGCGGCTACCGGCTGCACGTGGGCGCCGGGGGGCGCTCGTGCGTGGGTGAGGGCCGCGCGAGCGTCCTGGGTGGGCGGGGGGGGGCTCTGCGCCCCGAGCCTTCTGGAACACCCTCGGGCGCGCCCCTTTCCTCTCGCGCAGACCTGAACGAGTGCGCCAAGCCCCACGTGTGCGGCGACGGCGGCTTCTGCATCAACTACCCCGGGCACTACAAATGCAGCTGCTATTACGGCTACCGGCTCAAAGCCTCGCGGCAACCCCTGTGCGAAGGTAGGCGCCACGCCTGCGATCCCAGCCCCTCTGACGATCGCGGTTCAAAGCCAGCCCGGGCAAGAAAAGCAAAGCCAGAAGAAGAGTGGCGGGTAGAAGAGTGGCGGGTTAAAGGGTGGAGCGCCAGCCTGGATGGAAGAAAAAAAAAGGGACATCGCCCCGGCCATTAAGTTCAAGTCTTACTCCTGACACCCGCGCGCGCGCGCGCACACACACACACACACACACACACACACACACGAGTTCCTCGGTTGGCCCTCGACCTGGGGTGGGACCTACCCGCGCAGCCCTGACGCTGAGGCTGGGGGTCCAGGAAGCCCAGGGGGCTCAATTTGCCCAGGACCCTGAGAGCCAGCAAGCGACAGTGCACCTCCTTCTCCCTCCTGTGCAGACGTCGACGAATGCCGGGACCCGAACTCCTGTCCCGATGGCAAATGCGAGAACAGTCTTGGGAGCTTCAAGTGCATCGCCTGTCAGCCGGGCTACCGCAGCCAGGGGGGCGGAGTCTGCCGCGGTGAGGGCGGAGCCTGGCTTCCCAGGACGGGGCGCGTGATGGAGGGGCGGTGCCAGGTCCCCAGTGTTTAAGCGGAACTCTCTCTGCAGACATCAACGAGTGTGCAGAGGGCAGCCCTTGCACACCTGGATGGTGTGAGAACCTCCCGGGCTCCTTCCGTTGCACGTGCGCCCAGGGTTATGCGCCTGGGCCTGATGGTCACAGTTGCCTGGGTGAGTTCTACTACGCACACCGGGCCGCCCACCATCCATTCCCTGGCTGAAGTCAGGGAGTGGGTCACCCTGTGAAACCAGTGGATGGGAGGGCACTAATTTATAGTAAAGGGGCTGCAAAGTGGCCTCCGAGGTCTTAGGAGGCCAGGTTTACAGCTGCATTTGCAAAACATGTTACTTAAGTTTGAAGATGGAGGCACAGTTAGTAGTTCCCCTCCCCCCTCCCGCCCCCAGTGTTTATTATGCACCAAGAGGCAGGGTGGGATTCAGGGAAACAGAACTGCTGCAGGTCTGAATGGAGACTGGGTGCTCTCTGGACATACCAACAGCACTTAGAGGAAGGAGCCCTGAGCTATGTTGAAGGACAAGTAATAGAAATTAGCCAAGGATGAAAGAACAGCATGGCACACTGGAGCTGGTAGCTCATGCTCACAATCCTAGCTACTCAGAAGACTGAGATCTGAGACTCCAAGTAACAACCCAAAAGATGGAAGTGGATCTGTGACTCAAGTGGTAGATGGCCAACCTTGAGCAAAAAAGCTAAGCAAGCTGGGATGTAGCTCAGTGGCATAGCGCCTGCCTAGCAAGTGTAACATCCTGGGTTTGATCCACAGTTTGTAAAAACAAAAAACAAAAAAAAAGCCAGGCGCTGGTGGCTAACGCCTGTAATCCTAGGTACTCAGGAGGCTGAGATCTGAGGATCGTGGTTCAAATCCAGCCTGGGCAAGAAAGTCTGTGAAACTCTTATCTCTAATAAACCACCAGAAAACCAGAAGTGGCGCTGTACCTCAAGTGGTAGAGTACTAGCCTTTAGCTGAAGAGCTGAGAGACAGCACTCAGACCCAGAGTTCAAGTCCCACCACTGACAAAAAAAAAAAAAGACAAAAACACAGGGAAAAAAAGTAAGCAAGTCATGTCTTATGACTATAATACGAGTTATTCTTATGACTATAATACTAGTTACTCAGGAGATCTGAAGACTACAGTTCAAAGCTAGCCTGGGCAGGAAAGTCTATGAGACTATTACCTCCAGTTAACTACCAAAAAGCTGAAAGTGGAGCTGTGGCTCAATGTGGTTGAACACTAGCCTTGACTGCAAAAGCTCAGGGACAGTGCCCAGGCCCTGAGTTCAAGCTCCAGGACCAGCACACACACACACACACACACACACACACACACACACACACACACACACACTGAAAATAAGCAAGAGCCTGAGGTCCTGAGTTCAAGCCCCAGTATTAAAGCATGCACAAAACAGCAGGTGGGCTGAATGAGAGCAGAGGTTTGGGATGACTGTAAGATGGTATGATATTAGGACAAATGACCTAGGCTTGTTGGCTACAAGTCAAGATGGAGGAGGCAAGTGATTGATGGGCCCTCCAGGCATCCAATTTGGTGACAAGGTGGGTGGTGTTGCTCTGGTCCCTGAGGGCTGTCCAGCTGGGGATGCCAGTAGAGGATGGACTGAGTGGGTTGGGAATCTTTTTTTTTTCTTTTGCTCATGTAATAATTGTAATTAAGAGATAGAGAGAGAGAAAGGGAGGGGAGAAGAGAGAGGTCCTAGCTACTCAGGAGGCTGAGATCTGAGGATTTAGGTTCAAAGCCAGTCCAGGCAGGAAAGTCCATGAGATTCTTTTTTTTTTTTTTTGGGTCCGGTCGTGAGGTCTGAACTCTGGGCCTGGGCGCTGTCCCTCAGCTCTTCAGCTCAAGGCTAGTGCTCTACAACTTGAGCCAAGTGCCACTTCCGGCTTTTTTCTTTTTGCTTATGTGGTGCTGAGGAATCGAACCCAGGGTCTCAGGCATGCAAGGAAAGCGCTCTACCACTGAGCCACCTTCCCAGCCCTGGGTTGGGAATCTTAAGCCAGACATCTCCATCTGGAACCATTCATGGGCTGGTGGGCACAGGGTGCTGAGGTGGCCTGCTCCATCAAATGGGGGGGTAGGTTAAGGGGTACACATACAGGGGCAGGTGGGGAGAAGGACAATAAGTAGGGGGGGAGGAGTGAGAGCAAAGACCAGAGCAGGATATGGAGAGAGGCTGGGAGGGTTAGCTCTTGTCTGGTGAGGGCAGATGGCTCAGGGAGCCCCTGGCTTGGCCAGCAGGGTATGAGAGCCATGTGTGGGCACGGTGCTTCTTACCAGCCTTGCTGCCCTTACTCCGGTGCTTGGGTCCATGGGCAGAGGCCTTGGCCTGACCCTCTGACTCTCCCTGTGCTCCACAGATGTGGACGAGTGCGAAGCTGGGGACGTGTGTGACAATGGCATGTGTACCAACACGCCCGGCTCCTTCCAGTGTCAGTGCCCCTCTGGCTACCATCTGTCAAGGGACCGGAACCATTGCGAAGGTGAGGAGTCCTATAGTTGGGGTACTGGCCTATCCTTCCCTACCTTAGGATCCTTGCTACCCAGGTCTAGTCCCCATCCATATCCAAGATGTGGTGTGGGAGTGTGGCAACGGCCCAGGCTGGGGGGGGGGGGCACTGGCGGCTGCATGTAGGGGGTCAGTCCAGATTCTCTACCTCCTTGGTCCTCTGCAGACATTGACGAGTGTGACTTCCCTGCGGCCTGCATTGGGGGTGACTGCATCAACATCAACGGCTCCTACAGATGCCTCTGCCCCCAGGGGTACCGGCTGGTGGGTGGCAGGAAGTGCCAAGGTATGAGGAATTGGCAGGGCATGGTAATCCACTAGACACTGTGGCTCCTGCCTTCCTATCCCCCATCCACCCATGCTACACTCATCCATCCTGTCACTCACTTGGAGGCATGGCATGGGTAGCAATCACCGTGTTTCCATTGTAGCACAGTTACTGTAAAACTTTTTTGGGGGGTCAGTTATGGGGCTTGAACTCAGGGCCTGGGCACTGTCCCTAAGCCTCTTTGTGCTCAAGGCTAGCGCTCTACACTTGAGCCACAGTACCACTTTTCCTGCTTATGTGGTACTGAGGAATGGAACCCAGGGCTTCATGCATGCTAGGCAAGCGCTCTACCACTGAGCCACATTCCCAGCCCCCTGCCAAACTCTTTACACATATATTAGTCTAGCCCACCAATCCTCTCTTAGTCTATTCAGTACCAACTAGAGATAATGAGCTAACCATATATACCAGGTCAGGATGATCTTGAGTTTGAGGCCAGCCTGAGGTACATATAAAGACTGTCACATAGCATCATCACCACCACCAACAAAACAAACAAAAAACAAGAGGTAACTCAACACCTACTATTTGCCCAGTCAGAGCAACAGGGCAGTTACGTGGGACTCCTAGTTGGAAGAGAGTAACATGTACACTGTTTCTCTGGGCTTAGGTACCCGGGAAAGTTTGGACTAGTAGTTAATGGGGTGACTACTAGAATTGGATCTTGAAAATAATAGGGATTATGCAAATAGAGAACTGGATTGTATTTTGCCTCCAAAACATTATATACAAAGCACAGAGACCTGGAAGCACCTAGGTTTTTTTTTGGTGTCATTGTTTGTTGGTTGGTTTTGTCCTAGGGCTTGAACTTTGGCCCTGCGCACTGTCCCTCACCTCTTCAGTTCAAGGCTAGCACTCTACCACTTGAGCTGCAGCGTCACTTCTGTTTATATGGTGCTGAGGAATCGAACTCAGGGCCTCATGCATGTGAGGCAAACACTCTACCACTGAGGCACCAGCCCTAGTTATTATTTTTACTTATTTTTGCCAGTACTGGAGCTTGAATCCTGGGCCTGGGCACTGTCCTAGAGCTTTTGTGTTCAAGACTAGCACTCTACCACTTGAAGCCACAGCTCTATTTCTTGTTTTCTGTAGTTAATTGTAGATAAGAGTCTCATGAACTTTTCTGTCTGGTCTGGCTACCAACAGCTATTCTCAGATCTCAGCCTCCTGAGTAGCTAGGATTAACAGTGATGAGCCACCAGCACCTGGCTAATGAACACCGACGTGCTGAGCAAAGGATTTAGGACAAGGACTTGAGTGAAGATTGATGGGATTTGAGTATAATGAAGTTTGCCTATAATCCTAGCCACTGGGGAGGACCATCTAGACTTTGAGATCAGCTTGGGCTATATAGCAAGACTCGGTCTTAAAGTAGAACAAAACAGTCAGTGATGAATCTGAAAGGCATTGGGAAGCCAAACTGAAGGTCAAGTGCCAAAGTCTTCGAGGGCTTCCTTACGTTGTCAGTGGGGGCCTTATGTTGGAGATTTGCAAAGGCTGGCACCAGTGAATATCAGACATGGACACCCCCCACCTTACTGTTGTGTTCTGTTGTATAGGTTGAAATCAAAGTGGAAATTCAGGTTCCCAACTTGTGCGGGTGAGGCCTGGGGAAGAGGGAAGGGTCTCCTTAGAGCCACTTCTGCTTCTATTCTTGCTTCCCAAGACATAGATGAGTGCAGTCAGGACCCTAGCCTGTGCCTGCCCCACGGAGCCTGTGAGAACCTGCAGGGCTCCTATGTTTGTGTCTGCCAGGAGGGCTTCACACCCACCCAGGACCAGCATGGCTGTGAGGGTGAGTACCCTCCTAGCTCTCCCCCAGACCACAAGATTCCCTGAGCTGCTGCTGAGGTTCAGAGCTAATGGCCTGATCCCACCCTCCTGAGTTCTGGGAACAGGAAGTAATTCCTTTTGCCTGGGGGAGTTGGGGGCTAGCCCTCTGAGGACTCTCTGAAGGCTCTTGGCTCTGCCATAGCCATAAAGAGAGCCAGGGAAAGGGGGGGAGGGGGGCACACTGCCCAAGGCCACCTGCTACAGGACTTAAGCTGCAATTTGCCCCCCTCAGAGGTGGAGCAACCCCACCATAAGAAGGAGTGTTACCTTAACTTCGATGATACCGTGTTCTGCGATAGCGTGTTGGCCACCAATGTCACCCAACAAGAGTGCTGCTGCTCGCTGGGTGCTGGCTGGGGAGACCACTGCGAAATCTACCCCTGTCCAGTTTACAGCTCAGGTCAGGAGCCAGGCAGGCCTCTTTTCAGAGCCTGTGTGATCATCTGGAAACCAAATGGGAAAAAATGGTCTCGCCTCCCCCCTCCTCCCCCTTCCCCTGCCCCTCGCCCTGGGGTAGCTGGGAAGGGACGGGAGAGCTCCAACCTGTTTCTGGCCGCCAACAGCTGAGTCCTACTTTCTTCCCTACACATGGCCTCTCTTAACCCGCAGCCGAGTTTCATAGTCTATGTCCAGATGGAAAGGGCTACACACAGGACAACAACATTGTCAACTATGGCATCCCGGCCCACCGTGGTAAGCCCGGCGGGGCTCTGCCCTCAGCCCCCAACCTCCATCCCGCCTGCAGATTGGCTTTGGCTCTCTGGTGTAGTTGGCCTGGCGGCAACTGGAAAACCACGCCCACTCCAGCTGGCCACGCCCACCAACCCTCTGGAGTGCGGCCTGGAGCTGTGGGCGGGGCCTGTCGGGTTGCAGCCTCCTTGCAGGCCCCGCCCTCCCCGCGCACCTGCGCTCCCGCCCGCTGAGCTGCTGGGGCAGGCGAGGCCCGGGCGCCCACGGGTTCGTCACCCCACAGATATTGACGAGTGCGTGTTGTTCGGGGCGGAGATCTGCAAGGAGGGCAAGTGCGTGAACACGCAGCCCGGCTACGAGTGCTACTGCAAGCAGGGCTTCTACTACGACGGGAACCTGCTGGAGTGCGTGGGTGAGCGGGGCGCCCCTCTTCGCCCGAGCCCCGCAGCCGTTCCCCGCACGAGGCCTGGCCCTGCCATCATCGCCTCCCCCCGCCCCCCGCAGACGTGGACGAGTGCCTGGACGAGTCCAACTGCCGGAACGGAGTGTGTGAGAACACGCGGGGAGGCTACCGCTGCGCCTGCACGCCGCCTGCCGAGTACAGCCCCGCCCAGCGCCAGTGCCTGAACCCCGAGGAGCTGGGTGAGGCCCGGGCCCTCAGCGGGGGACGCGGGGGCGGGGCGACGGGACCGTGAACCATCGCGGGCCGAGGCTGCCGCCTGGAGCCTGGCGAGGGGCGCCGTGCAGCCGGCCGCGTCCCCCGTCCGCCGGTGCGGAGCGGAAGCTGGGCGGCCTCCGGCTCCTCCTTGACCTTGGGTCCCACGCAGAGCACGGTCCTGAGCGGCGCGAAGTGTGCTGGAGCCAGCGCGGCGAGGACGGCATGTGCGTGGGGCCCCTCGCGGGGCCTGCCCTCACCTTCGACGACTGCTGCTGTCGCCAGGGCCGGGGCTGGGGCACCCAGTGCCGTCCGTGCCCACCGCGAAGCGCGGGTGAGCCGGCCGCGGGGGAGGAGGGGCGCAGCGCGGCCGAAGGGGTGGGGTACACCCATGAACCCTTGCCCCCAATTCCAGCGTCCCAGGCCCAGTGCCCGTCGCAGAGCGAGAGCAATTCTTTCTGGGACACGAGCCCCCTGCTTCTGGAGAAGCCGCCGAGAGGTGAGGCGGGGGCAGGGCGTGCGAGGCGGCGGGCTGGGGGTGATGGTGATCTGTTACTCTTCCGGCCCGACAGATGAGGACAGCTCCGAGGAGGACTCGGACGAGTGCCGCTGCGTGAGCGGGCGCTGCGTGCCTCGGCCCGGCGGCGCCGTGTGCGAGTGTCCCGGCGGCTTCCAGCTGGACGCGTCCCGCGCCCGCTGTGTGGGTGAGTGGGCACCAGGGGGCGGGGCCGGCAGCTGGGCTGGGTCCAGACGCCATGCCAAGTTCACACCTGCCATTGCCACCTGCAGACATTGACGAGTGCCGAGAGCTGAACCAGCGTGGGCTTCTGTGCAAGAGCGAGCGCTGCGTGAACACGAGCGGTTCCTTCCGCTGCGTCTGCAAAGCTGGCTACGTGCGCAGCCGCCCGCACGGGACCTGTGTGCCCCAGCGCCGCCGCTGACGCCCGCTTCGGCCTCACCTCCGAGACTGACAATGGGTGGGGAGAGTGAGCTGGTGTCTTGCTCTGGTCTAAACTTGAGACACAGACCCAGGGACCTTCTGGGGCCCACAGACCTCTTCCTGCACCCTAACACCAGAGGTGCTCAGAGCAGGCCGCCCAGGTCATGAGCTGTTGGGTCTCCAGGGCACTTGTCACACCCTTCCTCCGGAGGACAGTTCCTGTACTCTTTGCTTTCACAGCAAACTGGCTGTTCACATCAGCAGTCTGGCTGGGGCTAACTGAACCTGGGCCAGGGGTGTGAAATAGAATTTATTGTGGCTCTGATTATGTACACATGAGATGTGCCAGGCCAGGCCAGCCAGGCTCACATGGTTTGTACAATAAATACATCCGCAGGGCCTCCCCTCCATGGCTGGAAGGCCCAGGAGGGTTCAGTCCAACTTCCGGGCTCCCAGCTTCATGGGGCCCTTGGCCGCCTTTTTCTCTGCACGTTTGGCTTCCATCTCTCGCCGCCGCTCCTCCCGCTTTTTCCTGGCCAGCTCAGCCTTCGCCTGTCCTGAGGATGGGAAGGACTGGCTTTCAGTTTCCCACCCAAAGACCTGCCTGCGGTCGGTGACCCAGAACCCTCGTCTACTTCCGGGGGAAGTACTTACGGCTCTCAGTTTCCAGGCCCTCCCAGTTGTCCTCACCCCATGAGTCTGGGTCTGGCCTGGGCTGCAAAGGGAAGTGCAGACTGTGATGGTGGCCAGCTCCTCACTGACTCTACCCAACGGTACCCACGCTGGACAGTACCTGGGCACTAGGACGCACAGACAGGGCAGCGAAGGGGTCACCCTTGTTGGACTCATTGCCACCCCAGTTATACTCGCTGGCCAGTCTTGTGCCTTCAGGGAGTGGCACGGGGGAACTGGGCTCTTGCCAGCCCTGATTCCATGAGCCCTCAGCTTCCCAGCTGTTCCAGTCTGACTCCAGGGCCTTGCGGTCCGGGTGGCTGACCTGTGGAAGCAAAGGGGCGAGGCGCCTATTGATGAGCAGGGCCAGATCCTGCCCACCAGCAGCCTGTGGCCTCAGCCAGCTCACCTGCCCAGCTTGGCTCTCTTGGCTCTTGGCACTCCAGTCATCCTGTTGGGCCAATACAGACTCAGCTTCCTGCTGTGGTGAGGGAAGGGGGGACATGACCGGTGAAACCACCAACTCCCAAAAGGACAACTAAGTTCATCCCAGTCCCTTCCTGGCTAGGGGCTCCACCCTTTTGGACATTTGCTTTCCCTGTGAAGTTGGCAAGCTGACCCCCAGTCTGCTGTCACCCCTCTTTGAGGCCAGGGATGAGGTCAAGATGCCCCGGATGGCCCACCCTCCAATCTCTGCGGTGCACAGGAAATTCCCAGTAGGCTTGGTCTCGGTGTAGACCTGGGGGTGGCCTCTCCTGGGAGGCCTAAGCCTGGGACTGGGTGGACACTGAAACAGGTGATAGAGGGACAGGTGTGAAGGCATGTTGTAAGAAGTTCACAGGCTCCCCAACCATTTCCTTCCCTGCTTCTTCCCAGTGGCCCTTGAAGCTAAGGGGTGACTCAGTTGCTCACTCTGGCTTCCAGCGGCCAATTCCATGAGGCCTACCTGCTAAGGATGCAGTCCGGGCTGCTGAGGGCAGGTCAGACTCTAATATGCACCCTTGATGCAGCATAGGATTTTAGACTGGCGCCGCTGGGGAGTTTCAGGCCCACTCACCTCCAAGCTACCCCAGTCTTCCTCATCCCATCTGTCAGCAGGGCTGCTGTCCTCGGCTGTGTCCTTGTCCTCCTCCTGTGTCTCCCAGTGACTCGAGGTTGTGGGAGTAGCAGGGACCGAGGTGGGGGCCGGGGCAGGGTGTCCTGGAAGAGGTCCCTGAGCTGTCAGGGAGATCTTGGGACAGGGTAGAGGGTGCTGAGGGGAAAGCCCACAGGGGGACTAGGCCCCCCTCCATCACCTACACCCCTGTCACTACCCCAGCTCGACAGTAGCAACTCTGGGGGCCAGCACCTCCCAACCCTCTCAGCCACTTATGTGGCCGGGCTAGAACGCTTACCCTCAGGGGGTGATCGCTGGGGAGCATTGGTCTCAGCCGGCGTGGCGGCGGGGTGTGCGCGGATCAACTTGGAGGTGAGCGAGGACATCCCTGTCACAGCCCAGCCTGCCCAGCTGGCGGCAGCTCCTCCCACCCCAGGGCTGGAGGCTGCGTGGACATCCTTCTCTGAACAGTGTGGGAGACAGAGGCAGGTATGGGCACCATAGGCCCTGTGGGGGACGTGAAAGCATGACATCCGCCAGCCCCCTCTGCTGGAGCTCCCCACAGCCCTCCCAGCTCACTGACGTGTTTCTGGCTTTCAGTCACCGCAGTGGAGGTGGGACACAGCAGGTGACAGTCAAGCATGTGGCAGTAGGGAGAGGGAACACCAGCCTGGGGCACTCACCCACTTCTGCCAGCTGGGTGGGGTCTTCTGACACGGACTCCAGTTTGGACAGAAAGCTTCGAATGGCCTTGAAGGCCTGTGGGGTAGCAAGGAGCTGAACTTAGGGCCTGGGCACTGTCCCTGAGCTTTTCCTTGCTCAAGGCTAGCGCTCTAACACTTGAGCCACAGCGCCACTTCTGGCTTTTCTTGTGTATGTGGGACTGAGGAATCGAATCCAGGACTTCATGCATGCTAGGCAAGCACTCTACCACTAAGCCACATCCCCAGCCTCCAGGGTTCCTGAGAACCCCAGGCTGACGAGGGTCCAGGGCCCAGCCTCACCTGGTCCCGCACAGATTTTTCAGGATCCACAGTGAGGCCACAGAGCACAGGCAGGATCTTGTGGGCACAGTCACTCATTGAGTAGAGGTTGTGGGTGGCAGCAAAGCCCAGGACCCCTGCAACCCGGGACGGTGGAAAGGGGTCCTTAGTGGCCCGGCTGAAGGCAGAGGTGAGGACTCTGTGTCTAGTCTGGGACAAGGAGGGGAGAAAAAGAAGAGAACTAAGCACAGGGTCAACATTATACCCAGAACCTCCTGATCGAATGTCCTAGAATGGACCGTCACGGGACCCCCTAAGTCTAACACTGCGAATTTACACCACTTGTGCGAAAATGAGAATTTACTCAAACCCCTGGATCTGGGCTTCTCCCAGACTACTGGGCTCTCTGTTCAAGCTGTCTCAGGACCTCAGGGCTCGAGCAGCAGCTACCTGGGGCCGGGACTATAGATCTCCTGGGCCTGGTATAAGCCCAGTTTACAAACAGAGGAAACAGTCTTGGGGTCAAGCAAATCTGGGCTCAGACTGCAGATCCACCTGCTATGGGTGCAGCCCATCGTGTCCAAGAGCTCAGACCTGTGCCAGGCCTGGGAGACCAGGAGGAGAGCCTCCACACACAGGATTCCTGGCCCCAGAGGAAGCCTCAGTCCTGTGGCAGCAACTCAGGACACTCACGCTGGCGCTGAGGTAAGAGCCAATTTTGCCCAGGCAGACGGTTGTGTTGCAGCGGATGGGGCCCTGATCATCCTTGGCCTGCAGCCGGGCAAAGTGCTTCATCAGCTCCACGTTGAGGTTGGTCTCGTTAAGCTTTGGGGCCAAAAGCAGCATGGACTGTGGAGTGAGGAGGACAGTGAGTACTGCAGACACGGCAAGAAGGGATGCCTGGGAGAGGGGAGGCCACTGGCAGCCCTGCCAAACCCACCACGCTACGACCTGCCTCATTCGGCAAGTTGGGGAAGGGGATCCTCCACTTCTCTGCCCCCCATTTACAGTAAGGTCTCAGAGGCATGATCACACTGCTGGCTGGATTTCTCCTCTCTGCTGTCTACCCAACAGGCCCAGGCAGAGGTCACTGTTGACCTCTTTATTGCTACATTTAATGGCCAATCCTCTGTCCTCAGCACGCTTGACCCTTCTGCAACTGTGACTACCCCTCATTCTCTCTCCGCTTTAGCGCTTTTGCTTCTGCTCTTCCAGTGCACAGTGGTTCATGGTCTTCTGACCTCATTGGCCACCCATTTTGCTGAGCTCTTAGACGGCTGAGTTTTTGTTGTTGTTTTCCCCACTCACAATTGTCAATTTACCACCTGAGCTATGTTTCTAGTCTAGAACACCTTTGCTGGTTACTTGGAAATAAGAGTCCCAGAATTTTTTTTTCACCTGGCTGACTTCCAACCACAATCCTCAGATCTCAGCCTCCTAAGTTGCTAGAACTATAGGCGTGAGCCAATGGCACGCAGCTTGACTTCTTTCATTTTTTAGTTATTATTTTTTGTTGGTACTGGGGTTTGAACTCAGGTCCTTGTGCTTGCTGGGCAGGCACTCTACTACCTGAGCCAAGCCTCCAGCCATTTTTGCTTTGGTTATTTTTCAGACAGTCTTGCTTTTTAAGCTCAGGCAAGCCTGGACTGCCATCCTCTTATTTATGGTTTCTACTGTACAGGGGATGACAGGTGCACACCACTACACTTAGCTTATTGTTGAAATGGGGTCTCAGGAACTTTTCCCCCAAGATGGCCTCAAACTGCAAGCCTCCCAAGTAGCTAGAATTATAGTCATGAGCCACTGTGCCCACACTCTGTGCTGAGCGCCTATAATATTTAACAATAGTGCCCTGAGTGACAGCACCTATTTCACGGTTTTACATGCTCCTGACATGCTTTCAATCTGGAATGTCCCCCAAAGGCTCAAGTGAAGGCTTGGTCCCCAATGCAGCCATGCTGAGAGATAGTGGTTTGGGAAAATTATTAGATCATAACAATTGGTTGCTTGTAGCTCATGTCTATAATCCTAATTTCTCAAAAGGCTGAGATCTGAGGATCTCAGGAGCCATCCCAGGCAGATAAATCCCAAAGACTCTTACCTCCTATCAAACAGCAAAAAGCTACCAGGGGAGGCATGTCTCAAGTGGCAGTGACAGAGTGCCAGCCTTAAGCAAAAAGAAAAAAAAGGAAGTGGTGCTATGGCTCAAATGGCAGAGCACTAGCCTGGAGCAAAAGAAGTCAGGGACAAACGGGTGCTAGTGGCTCACGCCTGTAATCCTAGCTACTCAGGCTGAGATCTGAGGATCTCGGTTCAAAGCCAGCCCAGGAAGGAAAGTCCATGAGATTCTTATCTCCAATAAACCACTAGAAAACCGGAAGTGGCGCTGTGGCTCAAGTGGTAGAGTGCTCGCTTTGAGCTGAAGAGCGCAGAGACAGCGCTCAGGCCCTGAGATCAAGCCCTAGGACTGGCAAAAAATAAAAGTAAAAATCAGGGCTGGGAAGGTGGCTCAGTGGTAGAGTGCTTGCTTTGTATGCATGAGGCCCTGGGTTCGATCCCTCAGCACCATATAAGCAGAAAAGGCCAGAAGTGGCACTGTGGCTCAAGTGGTGGAGCTCTAGCCTTGAGCTGAAGAGCTGAGGGACAGCGCCCAGGCCCAGAGTTCGGGCCCCACGTCCAGCGGAAAAAAAAAAAAATCGGACCTCATCAA